TTTTTTTTTTTTTTTTTTTTTTTTTTTTGAGGAACTATTTTGAAAGTCGGATCTATTCATTTTGGAATTTTAATTATTAATCATAGTCGATTCGTTCTATTGCGTTTTAATAAATAATGCTCATCTGAAATATAAGTCTGTAATTAAATTCTGAATGAAATAAATAAGCTCGTTATTCATTCTATAATTTTTTACACGTTTTTTATCAATTTATTTTCCGTGTCTAGCATTATTGGTAAGTGTGGTATATGTGTTTAGGAAGGTATTAATTGATTTATGATTACGTGCTTGATATCCAAGTTGATCCGCAAAAAAGGAAAAAAGAAATAGATTTGTAAAGATTTATTCACAATGACAGTCTTTGCCTGGCATCGAAGTCTCTACAGTCAATATGTTAAGTCAAGTAATAAACTCGTTCTCATTTCTTTACCCTGTTAGTTAGGAACAAGCAACTAACTCGTCTCGTGGATCGCTAATATCTCGGACGTAATTTATTTACCCACAGTTCCCGTTGTCTCGTGATCTGGTCTTCATCCTTTTTTCATTTTTAGAATCTTTAAAACGCAGTTGTTTCCGATTGAACATTTAACTTAGCAGAGAAAAACATAACAAATGTTCGTGAATTTATTTTTACGTTTATCTTATTCTATTTTCAATTTTATTTTTATGCAATTAGAACCTAATAACAATTTGGAAATTATCGAGGCGACTGTGACATCAGAGAAAGATTCGTTGCTTACAATTTCTTCGAATGATGCTATAAAAGATCGTACGAATTTATTTTTTAAAACAAAATGGGAAAGAATATTTATACGAAGAGTTTTGGATTAGGTTTAGGTTAGGTTTGGTAAAAGTATAGAAATAAAAATTTTTAAATAAATGAGTTAGGTTTGATTTAAAATTAAAAAGAGAAGAATCCTTGTAGGAAAGGGTTTGAATTAAATTTAGGTTAGGTTTAGTATAAAATTAAAAAAAAAGAAAAAAAAGATTGGAATCTTTATAGGAAAGGATTTGAGTTAAATTTAGGTTAGGTTTGGCTTAAAATTAAAAAAAAAGAAAGAAGAATTGGAATCTTTATAGGAAAGAATTTGAGTTAAATTTAGGTTAGGTTTGGCTTAAAATTAAAAAAAAATGAAAGAAAAAATTGGTATCTTAATAGGAAAGGGTTTAGGTTAAGTTCAGATTAGATTTTGTTTAAAATAAAAAGGAAAAGAAGGATTTTTATTCGAAAAGGTTTGAGTAAAAATAAAAAAGGAAGAAATTTTTGTACGAAAGGGTTGCTCGTCGATATCTCTTTCATCCTCGTTTCCCATATGTACATACTGCTGCCATCTGCATCGATTGTCCGAACGATAATCGAAGCGACGACTAGATTTATTCAATTTCCAACGCGAAGTTAGGTTCTCGAAGTTGCTAGATGTCTCGAAGATCAAGATCGAAGGGAGGACAAAGGTTCCCGGTGGGTTTTCGCGCTTGCGCACGAGGCACACGTAAGATCAGCAGTCGAGATACCTGGCTGATAGTTCGATGCGCTCGGATACGCTCGCCAGATGCACTTTTGCGATAATCGGGGACCCAGCGAGCGCATCTTTCGAAAGCTGTTTACCCTCCGTGAAACTCGTCTCTAAACGGTGCATGATGAATCACTCGCGTGTGGTAATTTGCCGGGTCCCTATTGGTGGGCAGAATTGGGATATATTCTTAGTAGATCATGGGGTGGGAGCAGCGACTGTCTCGTCTTCTATGAGTAATTGGGAAATTGGCTTTTCCAATGCTGCATGGTAAAACAATTTTTCCAAATTTTTAAGTTCACCCTCTCCAAGTTTCCAAATTTATATTTTTATCTTTTTGGTTTCCTCCAAATCTTTGTTTTCAATTTTCCAATGTTTTCTGTATGTTCAATGCTTAGCAAGGAAACATATTTTTTATAATACTTTCCAAATTTTTCTGTTTACTCTTTTTTAAGTTT